AAAAGAAAAGCAGGGAAATCAGCGAGCCATGGAGGTGGACACAGGTCTGCTTCTTCAGGTAGAAGCTCTAGAGAAAAAAGTAATATCTGCAAACCTACATGCCCTACAAGCTTAGGTAAAGGCAATCTGTATGAGGCTAAACTCAAATCAGCATGTTTGTTCTTACAATGATCATAATGAACATATTTATCTTTTTTAGGGTTGGATGACCCGTGAACCCCAGTCAGTCAGCCAGCAAGGATCTTTTATATTTTGAGCACAAGCATGCTTTTTCTGATGCTTTGGAAAGCAAATTACATAGAGAAACTCAACAGGAGAGGGCTCAAGGCTTTCTGATACAACAATCCAACAATCCTCTTGACATAGCAGTCAGCAGGCTTGCAGAGCTGCAAAGGAATATTGAGCGCAGGTAAATTTCAAAGTACAGCCCTCAGGCCTGACAGAACGATAAGGTTAAAACTACTACTGTTTATCTGTTTCATTGTAAAGCTTAGAATCACTGTCATGTTGTCTCATTCCAGCAGTAAAGAGAAGGTGGGTGCTGGGATGAGACAGTGGCACAAAGCTCTCGGTCAGGTCCGCAGCTCACCTGAGCTGTCTCTTTGCATTCAGCATCTACAGAAAACTGAGGTTTGGAAACAACATGTTAAGAAAGAGGTTGGTTTCACCTGCCATCCCTCTCTTTTTATATTTCAAAAATATAAAAAGAGAGGGATTCCTTAAAACATTAAGGAAGAAAAAAGGACAACATCGGTTTTTATCATATGTTAAGAGTGATTTTAAAAAAATACTTAAATGTTATCATAATCGAATATTCCATTTGGTTGTACTGCGTTTTATCATATTTGTGTGTTCCCTCATTCAGGAAAACTAAACCGGATGGTAGAGCTCATCAGCAAGGGGGTTGACAGCAGCTATGAAGTCCCAAAGAGAGATTTCAAGGAGTTCAGAAAAAAAGGAAAGGAGAAGACAACCCAGTCTCCTGTTCAAAAAAAGCCAAAACATCCAAATAGAGCGACGATAAGCTGGCCGTGTGTCGGTATGTACATGCCTGTTCAGTTGGTGCAGTAGTTGTCACTTTTTGTCTAAATCAAACATGACATTTTGTTCTAGAAAGAGATATTGAACATAAAATGGATAATGTTTCCTTCATAAAACAGTCCAATGTGTTAAGCTGGTTGTTCCCTTCAGAGTGCTGCTTTTCTGAGCTGAAGGCCCATCAGGATGCGTGGTCCTTTCAAAGCCCCATTTGGCAAAAAAATGTCCCTGGAAACAGAAAACACATGAAAAGCCAATGGACTTCCACACCATAAAGGAAAAACAACAACTTCTGAGTCGGTTTACATATGCAGCGGATATACATGTCGACATGCAGTCCCTTTCATATTATATTTCATATAAATATTTACTTCTACAGGCTTCACAGAATTTTTCTCTCACTGAAAATTCCCATAAACTTCAAAGTAGCACATAATTACAATTTGAATCAACAGTTTGGAAATTCCTTTTAACAATTAAGTCTGTAAAGATGGACTGAACATGCATATTCCACCAGCTTTTTTTCCTGATATTTCCTGAATTATATAACTCGATATTGTTATTTTCCTAAAAGATTCATTTAACATAATAAACTTTTAAAAATGCTTTTAATTTACATCTACAAACTTTAAAGGGTACAATAGGAATAATTTAGCATGACCCTGTAATAGCTTAGTAACCATATAATTACACTTTTTGTATGTAAATGACACCATTCCTTCTGATTGCAGGTATTTAAATCTGGAGACCTTCATTACCGATGTGAACCTGGTTTTTGATAACTGTGAAAAATTCAACAAGGATAGCTCTGAAATTGGATGGACCGTCTGCAGAATGAGGAGATTTTTTTAACAAGAGATGGACAGAGATGCTGCATCTAAATAAATCTTCAGGGTGGACGCCGTGATCAGCAAATTATTGTCTGTATTTAGACGCTTACATAGCACACCTTTGGTAGCACTGATGTCCAGGGTTATCCAAGGTAACAGGACAGACTTGTGAAATATCTTCTTGTGCAAAATTAGATTTGGTTTCTTTAATAAATCACACTTTATCCTGAACCTAGTGCTATTTTCATAAATAAGGGTTCTATAATGGGTATATCATTATATGTTTAAAAATTAATTATTTTGCTTTTGAATTAAAGATCTTGTAATTGCTTTTTAATTTCACAACTAATCAGGTTGCCGTCCTTAAGAAATGTGATATATCAAATACTAACCCTAAATAACCACTGCATTACAGTCATAGATAAAACAGTTTTGATAAATGTGTGTCAGCTCATTAAGTTGATCATTGCATCATGTAAGCACATCTTATAAAAACTTTTAGCTTCTAATCTCTTACTATTTTTCAAAAATAAAGTGTACTGAATGTAAGAACCCTTCACTCTGAACTTATCTTGCACATTAGTGTTGTCACTCTACAAGCCTTCCCCCAGCTAAACAAAATTGTTGAAGGACGAAACCTTTACTGGGAATAAACTCACCTGGAAATACAAACTGAACCACAGATTGTTTCTCCTAAAGACTAAAGGTCAGCTTACTGGATTTTTTAATGTTATTAAAAGTACCAGTAACGACTTATGTAGGAAATCAATCAAATTCATTGTAATATACCTTTAAATAAAACAATGCAACAGCAACGTTGCAAAAGATGGCACAGGGTGAATCCTGCCTCTCGCCAGGTATTTCAGCATCTATTTATTGTAGCCAGTGATATAAAAAAGAGAAGTGCCCATATTCTGATCTTCAGCTACCACAGTATACATGGAGGATTAAAAAATACTACCTATACTTCAGCAATAGTATCAAGGTGTTACTTTATTGTATCTCTTATACTATATCTGTTGGTTGTGCTGTTCTTTTTACAGTGGATACAATTCTTTCAGGATTGAGTTCTGGGGCGAAAATCTTTTCCATTGTTATTACTTATCTACTTTTAATAATAATCATTCTGCATAAAATTGATATTTACAAGTACTAATATCTACACAAATTTATTATTTTTTTTAATATGTTTTTATGAAAATAGTTATTTATCGACTCCTAGATGACTTGCATTTTCTCTTTACCCCATATAAGAATAAATCTAGTACTGAAAAGAGCATGAATTCTGAACTTATCATCTTTAATGTTAGTATATTGATGTGCATAATTAACCACAGTGTTTTTGTTAAGTAATTATGAAAAAATAGTAAGAGATATATGAAAAATGAAGATGTTTTGAATGTTACACTTGAGAGTATTACTGCTGCCACCATCTGTATTAGAGAGAAAAAATGGAAGCGGTGGCCACAGATTGGCTAAGGGTGGGTTAAAGGAATAGTACACCCAAACCAGATGAAAGTGCGCATTCAGCTCGGCAAAGAACTCATGCTCTTCCTCAACACTGAAGTCCTCAGACATTTTTCTTTTGTTGTTTCTTT